ACCATTATAGGGTGCCTATTCCCCATTGTTTATTTTTGTTGACGGTGTCAAAGATCATTTGGGTGCAGGTTTGGGTCTTTATTTTAGGCTCTCTACTCTGTTATATTGGTCTGTGTATCTATTTTTGTACCCGTACCATGTTGTTTGGTTACGGTAAACTTATAGTATAGCTTGAAGTCAAGTACTATGATGCTTCTGGTTTTATTCTTTTTGCTTAGGATTGCCTTGGCTATTCAGGCTCTTTTTGGTTCCATATAAATTTTAGAGTAGTTTTTTCTAATTCTGTAAAAAAAAAAAAAAAAAAAAACGATGTTGGTAATTTGATAAGACTAGTGTTGAATCTGTAGATTGCTTTGGGCAATATAGACATTTTAATGGTATTGATTTTTCCAACCCTTGTGCATGGAGTTATTTTCTGTTTGTGTTGTCTGTGATTTGTTTTAACAGTGTTTTGTAGTTCTCATAGATGTCTTTCACCTCCTTGATTAGATATACTCCTAGCTGTTTTGTTTTATTTTATTTTATTTTAGTGGCTGTTGCAAATGGCATTGTATTGTTGATTTGGTTCTCAAGTTGAACGTTATTGATATATAGGAATCCTGCTGATTTTTTGTACATTGATTTCGTATCCTAAGTCTGGTGAAGTTGTTTATCAGATCTAGGTGTCTTTGAGCAGAATCTTTAGATAATTTTACTTCCACTTTTCCTATTTAGACACCGTTTATTTCTTTTTTCTTGCCTGATTGCTCTGGCAAGGACTTTCAGTACTATGTTGAATAGCAGTGGTGAGAATGGACAGCCTTGCCTTGTTCTTACGGAAAATGCTTTCATCTTTTGACTGTTCATATGATATTGGCTATAAGTTTGTCATAGATGGCTCTTATTACTTTGAGGTATGTTCATTCAATGCCTAGTTTGTTAGGAGTTTTAATTATAAAGGGATGTTGGATTTTATTGAATGCTTCTTCTGGTTCTATTGTGGTGATAATATGGTTTTTGTTTTAATTCTGCTTATGTAGTTAATCACATTTACTGATTTGTATATGTTGAACCATCCTTGTATCCCAGGTGTTAAAGCCCACTTGATCATGATGAATTGATTTTTGATGTGCTGCTGGATTTGGATTGCTACTTTGTTGAGGATTTTCACATCTGTGTTCATCAGGGATATTGGCCTGTATTTTTCTTTTTTTGTTATATCATTGCCACACTTCGGTATCAAGATGATGCTGGTTTCATAGAGTAAGTTAGGGAGGAGTTACTCCTACTTGATTTTGGGGGGATAGTTTCAGTAGAATTGGTACCAGCTCTTCTTCATATGGCTGGTAAAATTTGGCTGTGAATCCATCTGGTCCAGGGATTTTTAAGTTTTTTATTACTGATTTTGTTTGATTACTTGTTATTGATCTGTTCAGGATTTCTGTAAACACACTAGTCTTGAGGGGTTTTTTCCTACTTTTCTAACTGCTCCTTCTATTTCTCTTTGTCTTCACATCTCCTAATGTAGGGTGCTCCTTTTCTCCCAGGCAGAAAAAAACAAATGCTATTTGGTTTGGGCCCCCAAAGTACCTGTCTCTTCATTTCTATCTCATCCTTATATCCACTTTGGCTGTGTGTATGTACCTGTTTCTCTCTTCTTTCCTTTTAGCCCAATTTAGGTCTTTATGTTTAAAGAATGATTTCCATGTAATGCTTTCTTCTAATTCTCACCTCCCAGTGAACCGTCAATTGCCATAGTAAATTAAGAAGTTAACCTCCCCTTGCACCTTGAATTCCTCTATGTATCTGAGTAGTTGTCGAAGAGCATTCTCTTTACGTTACTACCTTTGAATACTGGTTTGTATTCTGTTATGAGGTGGTCAGTCCAGTGTGGCCATAATAGGAGTTCAGGGTGGCCATAATAGAAGACATCAGGAAAACAAAGTTTGTTATACTCACAGGTCCTAGAGACCGGAGGCATAGCACACAGTGCAGGGGTCACATGGGGAAGACATCAGGATGTTGAGGAGGCAGAATACAGGAGTGAGTGACAGGTTTAGGCCACTACCTTTACTGGGGTTTCTGAAGGGGAATAGTTAGGCCATCACCTTTTTGTGGTGGCATGATCATAGCTGGCTGCAGCCTCAAACTCCTGGGCTCAAAGGATCCTTCCTGCCTCAGCCTCTGAGTAGCTGGAATTAGAGAGGAAAGCCACCCACCAGCTCTAGGCCCCTACCTTTATTGCGGTTACTGTGGGAAAATCAGGACAGAGTAAACAGTTTAGGATTGGCTAATTTGAATAATTTTGGAGGACTTTGGGACCACCTAGGGGTGGTCTCTAGTTGCCTGGTAACTGGCCCTAGGATGAAGGCAGAATATTGCCTCTAGAGTCTGATTGAGGAAGTATGGCTCTAGATTAGTTGGTTTGTGTATCAAAGACATGCTTCTGGCTGGGCCCTTTGCTATCTCCAGGAATTGACTAAACCTGGAAGGGGCAGTCTCTCCCCAGCCAGAAAGATTTTTATGATGTCAAAATATAATATATTAAAAATGTAAGAACATTTTACAATACAGAGGCCATACCTTCAGCTCATCCTCCCACCAGAGGCAGAGCCAGGGCACTTAAATATTATTACCAGAGACCATTGTACCAGTGATACTAGAAATCAATCTCTCTGAGTTATTTAGTGCTTTGTGACTTATAAGCAACTTTGTTAGCATTTTTATGGCAACTTGAAAGGGGAACCAGTATATAGAATTTTCACAAACTCCATGGGAGTGGAATATTTGATTCTGGAAGACTTCCTATTAGTAGTGTGTTAATCTTTTAAGTGCTTGTCTCTGTTTTTCAAATTCTCATATTCTTTTAGCCTTGTTGATTTATATACTATATCTTGAACATGTTTCTCCAGTGGTGAACAATCTCTGTTTTCCTCCAGTTTTATTCAGGTATGATTGACAAAATAATATTGTACTATCTTAAAATCGTCACAAAGGTAATGATATGCTGCATAGGGATAGAGAAAACAAATAATGATAAAACACACAACTACAACTTTAAAATAGTGAAACTTTTATGTGTGACTTATGGAAGTGACTCTGATTACTTGACTAGAATGTTGTGGAAAAAAAGAAAAAATAAAGGTGACTCTAATTACATTTTATTTTCATGCAAGTTTTCAATTACTTGACACAAGCAAGCACTCTTAATTTTGCTAACTATATATGTCTAAGTAGTTCTGGAGTTTTCTATTTGTCAAAGACTTTAGGAAAAAATAGAAGCGATTTTATGAATTTTTAGAAAGTGAAATATTTATACATATCTTTTATAATTATCTCCAGGAAATAGGGCTCTGGTTCATGTGATATACCTAATTATTCATTCTTATTTAAGTAATACTTCTGCCAGAAGTTAGGTTGTGTATATTGCCAGACGTTAGCACTGTCTTAGAAACACTGCTGTAAGGTTCTAACTTTGTGCTCTCCTGACTGGTCTGCTCTGGATGTGTGTGTACACATATGTGTAAGGATGGGAAGTTGGGGTGTTTGAGTGGTAGGAAATGGAAGTGTAGAGCCATATCCATGGTCTAGACAATTCTTACAGATTCCTGTGGCCTGTTATATCTTATTCAGTACATGATGCTCTGGCTTTTTCCAAGTAATAACTGGATATAGCAATTTGAAAACAATGTATTATAATTCCTTAGAAAATATTTCTGTGTATAGAGTGGCATGTCTTTCCATAAATTAGCCCTATTCTAATATCAAATCACAGCAGAAGTGGTTAAAAAGCACTCACATTGCCGGGCGCGGTGGCTCAAGCCTGTAATCCCAGCACTTTGGGAGGCCGAGGCGGGTGGATCACAAGGTCAAGAGATCGAGACCATCCTGGTCAACATGGTGAAACCCCGTC